AACGGAGACAATGTGGATGAGCCTCTCTTTCAAAACAGAACTCTGCCAAAGAGAAAAACGAGCTTGTTACAGACTCACGCAGTTAATTAAAGGGCTGCTCACTGGACCTTTACTCATGCCCAGAGCCCAGCCAGCAGCACGACCCCCCACCACACCGTGTCCCAGGGCACTCCTTGCACCCCCAGCACCACGGTGCTCCCCCTGCTGTTTCCTTCCCCCCCCATCTTCCCAAGCATTTTTCTTTTTCCCATGGGCAAAGTGCCGAGCAGAGCAGACGCAGCCCTGCTGCTGCTCCATGAGTCAGAAATGTGACTAATGCCCGTCCCTTTGGATTCCCCTCCTGAAGCACACTGCTGTTCCACCTCACCTGAGACCGAGGACTATCGTATCAACACACCACAGCCTCAATTCTCACCACAGCTCCCATAGGGCTAAAACAGCACGGCTGCACAGCCAATATGTGACCATCCTGCCTGCTCCTCCCACGATGAGCCCCCAGCCCCAGGAGCACAGTGAGGGTGGAGGCACGCTGCTGTGCAGCCCAATGCTCCTCTCTGCCTGCACTGCTGGCACGCAGGAGCCGACTGTTAATTTAAAATCCATATGGGCATCGTTTATCCATGCCCTTTAATAATTTCAAAGAGCTGTTTTCCAATGTGCTCTCACTGTTGACTTTTACAACGGAGCCCAGGAAACAGGGACCCAGCAGAGAGCTTCTGCAGGTGGCAGGAACCAGGTAAACACACCCCACAGCATCGGGTACAAGCTGCAATGATCCAACGACCCCCAGATCATCGGGATCACCAGGTTCTCGCCTCAAAGACCACTGCAGGCAGCAGGTCAGCCCCACTGCACAGGATGCTCTGCTGATGTCTCCACTTCGGGCTGGCAAAGCCATGAGCTGCCACTTCTACTTGGGATGTCAGCCTTAGGGACTGCAACAGGCTGATTCCTACAAGCAGAAAAAACACACTGCCCAACATTTGCCAAGCCCACGCACGTGTCATAGAGCCCACCTGGGTTGGGGATGCATAGTCTGAGCCACCAGATGCCCGTAAATGATCCCAGCGCTGCATATGACATAGCTTCTGCATGGGCATGGCTGACTGCAGGGAAATCTGGGTCACATAAGGATTTATCAGAATGGCTTTCTGGACAGATAGCTGCTGCTGTGGTCCACACGTGGGTTTTCACTGCAAAGCACTCCGATTGGAATGCATTTCACAGACAGTTTCTGCAAAGCCTACTTAGAATGCATGTGCCTTCCTTCAGGTGATATTTGTCAGATTCCTACTATGGAAATGCTTTTTACCTCCTGACAATACTCTTTAGATAGTGCCTATGGAGGTGGATGACTCAAGCCTGACTCGATGATTTCCATCCACCATTTTTTATTAAAAATACCCCTAGCCGTTTGCAACGTGAGGACAGAAGCTTAAAAGGAATCTGGAAACTACAGAGCACACACAAACCGTGCCACAGTTTTATGTCACCTAACAACAGACAGAAAATCTATATGTAAAACAGTTCCTCCCAGCCCTAGTTTATAATCTCATGCCTGGAAATGGCTGTGCACATGGCAATAACATCCATCCGAGAGCCCGTGGCTCTCCGTGGTCCCTCAGAGTCAGGTTATGGATGGCCTGCCACTTCCAACCTCATCATCTGCTCGGCATAACCAAGTTAAGCATCGCCTAATACAGCTTCCAGCCAGTTAATTCCCTTTGTGACAGCGACAGCTTCCAAACCTTGCTGATACTAAAGAACCACAAACAGCAAACGTGACACCAGGAATAAGCAAGCCATTGGTGCAACCTGTTGTAATGCTATAATGGGATGATAACAGCAGGGTGGCAAAGTCTCTGGCCACAGCAAATGAGAATGAGCCCAAACACAGCAGCCAAGGATGCAGAAATGAAGTAAAAGAGCTGCTTACCTTTGAATGCCGAAGGTAGGCAAGGTTCTCCAGCAAGAGATGCTCCACTGCCAACCCTTAAATGAGTCTTGGGAAGAGGTGGATCCTGGCTCCACACTTCCAGTTATTCAGGTGCACAGGATGCACCTGAGCTCCCCTGGGTTGGCCCTGCCTTTCTACCAGGTGCTCAATCACTGTTTTAGGCCTGACTTAGCATTTCCACTACACCTCCAGCCTCTTCTTTTACTGCCAGTGGAGTATTTAGAGCAGGACGAAGGAAAATAGAGCACAGGCGAAGCCAACAGATGGCTGATGCAAAGTTTTTGTAGGGGAAAATAACCAGTGGGAGAAGAGGAGAGCAGTATTCAAGGCACACTGCTATGAACGGTGTGTGTTCATCCAAAAAAAAAAAAAAGGACTCCTTCCCTCTCTATATTGCTTTGAGACAGAAATATTCTCCATTTCCTGATCTCCACGCTACTCCTCATCCATGGCTGCAGCAGCAATGCCGTGCCCCAGCCAAGCAGCACAGCCCTGCAGCATCCCAGAGCCAACACACCTGCAGAAACCCTTCACAACACAAGCAGCATAGAGATGTGCAATGCCAGATGTAGAAAAAAGGGCTGGGACACTTGTTGGTTGTCAACAAGTGCACAGATGGGTACTGAAAATTCCCACTTACTTCCCCAAAAAGTACATTAAACCTTTAAAGCTTTCAGACGTGAGCCTGGAATTAGCCAGCAGGCTGGGACTGCCTTGGGATCCAAATCTCATTGACAAAAGAACCACGGGGAATTAGGCATCTCTTTCCCAGCCTATGTGATTAGACACAAACACATTATTGGCACAGAGCTATCACAGCTTAGTACATCCACAAAGCTCCCATGCAACGACATTAACTCCTCAAGGAAGAACACTTTGCTGTTCACTCTGAGATAATTCAGGCTCGAGGGCAAAAAGGCCCATTGTGATTCGGGTTTGGACAGCGAGCAGTGGGGCCTTCACCCATTCCCAGCACACCTGGGCATTATGCTGGTACCAGCAACAAATCCCAGTAAGAGTGCCTGCATACTTGAAGTTATCTATGATTTCCAGTGGTGTGCTCTGCTAGCAACACACAGAAAAACATCCCCAGCATCTTAGGCTACTCTGGCTTTAGCGGATGCGAATCAATTCAGTGCCACTTCTGCATTCACAGGTAGGAAAAAAAAAAACAGCCTGAGGTTGAGCTCTTCTCTGCTGAGCTGAGAACTGGGGCATATCCTCATGGCAGAGATAAAAAGCCCTTGAAGATAGGTGTTTGTAAAGCAAAAGGCTGTCGGAAAAAATATATATAACTAAATTGTAACAAGAAGCCTGTGCTTAACAGTCAGAGAATAAACGGATGATTAGTTAAAGAGCTCTAACCATCCTGAAGAACGAAGGGGATATTCTTTGTGAGCAGAGATGAATGAAATGTGCTGCTCTCCAATTCAGCAGCACGGCTCTAATAGGGCACGGACCAAATTAAATGGATGCAGCACTCACATCAGCGGCGACTCGGTTGCTGCCTTCTCAAAAGGCAGCTTCTCTACGCCTAATTCACTTCATTTGCTGTTAATTAATGGAGATGACCCACAGTGTCTCGAGGGCTGGTCTCTCCCCAGGGACAGCGCGTTCCTGCACCACTGCTCCCATCCAAAGCTGCCACGGGACGTGATGCTGAGGGACACCACCCAACGTGGGAAGGGCAGGAATGGGATGGAGCTTCTGCACGTGAGCTCCCTTCCCACATCCTACATCCTGAGCAGGGACAACAGCTACGTTTCATCTTGCAACACAATTTGCCATCGGTAGGACGCACAGAATTGGAGCCAGTTCCCCCAGTTGGACAGCTCAGTCTCAGTGTCCCAAAAATGCTCAGAGGATGCTCCTACAGTCCCTGTGTTCTCAGAGTACCAGCTCAGCAATGACAGAGGCTTGTTACATTGCTCATCTCACCTTAACTGCTTCCAGTGCACACTGGGAAGAAGAGAAGCAGTGACAAATATTCAAAAAACATCCTGTTTCTACTTTAGATAAGTTACCATCAAGCTTGCAAAATCAAAGCCAGAGTTTTAGAGTTGAAAAAGCTCATAAACTACAGACTGATTCACCAAAGTGTAGGTGAAATGGGGGAGGGAGGGTAGAAATGCTGCCCTATTCTGCCAAAACGCCTCCAACCTGTCCTGGAAGGACCGTTTCCACCTTGCACCATTCCCTTGCTCATTTACCCACTAAGTTCTCCATCAAGACCACTGAGTGTCATCATGGCTCGCACCAAATGTCCACTGGGAAGCAAACCAAGAGCTTCAATTAGTTCCAACGCCCTCAAAGACCAGCTGTCAGCAACATTAACTGCTGCTCCAAAACGGCCCTGGTGAGCCACAAATTGTCTGGAAATAAGAACTTCCCACCAGGAACCAGACAGGGAGTCTACCTGGCCTCCCAGTCCGTCTGTGGGGAGAAGGGACAAGTAGCAAACAATCTGTAGGGGAGAAACTGTGGAGGTCCTCCAGGCAGCAGATGTGGGTGACCTCCCTGCTGGCTTTTGCCAGTCCATGGCCAGACTGTGCTCCACATCACTGACCTGGAAAAGGGAATTTTAAAGCCCTTTCCAGTTCCCTAAGCCACAAGCCACTTCTGTGTACCTCGGCACACTGAGAAACAAAGAGAAACCTTTTGAAAGGCCACAGAACTAACAAGAATTGCTCAGGAAGACAGACTCAGCTCTGCAGGTTCCCAGGGAACGGCTGAAAACATCTTAACAGAAAACCATCAGTCCAGTTTTTTCTTTTGCAAAGTTTCGCCCAGAAAAGCAACAGCCTTTCAAAAGCCGCCTTATTTCCAGGCAGAAGGACAAAACCAAAGGTTACCATCAGCCTCCAGCTCTGCACACAGCTTTGGTCAGGGAGCTCTCTCTGTCCCAGGCCTGCTGAGCCACCTCCCTTCCAACCTTTATTGGGAGAACGCCTTTCAGGTTATTGCATGTCAGTGCTGATGATAAGGTGAGAACGAGTCCTTCCCATCCTGAAACCCCCAGGAAAACTGCAGGGACACCACTCACCATCCAGTTCCTCCACAGAGATGTTGGCGAGCTGCTCGCTGTCGCTGCCAGCGGAGAGCGATCGGTTCAGGTAGTTGCCTTTGTACAACAAGCCAGCTGTTACATGGTGGAATGGCATCTTCTCCCTGGGTACGAGACAAAAGGGGAGAGAAAGGCTGATTTTAATGATTTCTCATGGCTCTCAGAGCAGTGCTGTAACCTGCCTTGAAGGAGTTGCCTCCCAGCCCAGTGTCTTCTGCATCCTACACCAGGGAACATGCACTGGAGTCGGGTGCATAACTGATGGACTGCAGATTAAATTTAGGTCTGAAGCAGGAGCTAAACAAATGGGCAAAAAAAGCAGCAGCTTCTTCCTTATGCAGGACAAGAGTTAGCAGACACAGAGCAGCAGCGCTGTAGTAAAATACGACTCCCTAACATACTGCAGCTTTCAGTACACAGATTTAGCATTTGACAATAATAACACAGTGCACAGGGGTGTACACTGGCATGTAATTATAAGGCACAGTGCATGGCTGTCAGAGCCACACACGGACCCTGCTCCAGAGCAACTGGGGGCGGCTCAGTCCCCAGCCACAGCACACACCGCAGTGTGTGCCTCCTTCCAGGCTGCAGGAGGAAAATTCCCACTCGAGCAGGGCCTGACGAAGAACATTTTCATTTCACAAACATGACAGCAAAAGAAAAATACTGCTCAATGGGAGACTGGAGCCGGAATGTGTTTGCAAACTTAGCAGGTATAAACACCGCAGCCTAGCGAAGGGCAGCCATCTGCACAGACAAACGTGGAAATTACTGTCAGCAGCACTTACACACTGATTTAGGATACAGAAGAAAGAGACAAGTTTGCCAAAGTCAGTTGGAATATTAAGAGGCAGATCTGTCATTTCCTTGGCTCGTTTCAATCAGCGCAGCCCATCATGGATCTATTGCATTTTGTATTGCAAAGATCAATCAGAAAAGCCAGCAGAGGCACCCACCCAGCACCACTAAGGACCTGATGTTTATAGGGCAGCTTTGGCTGCCTCAGGGCAACCTGTAGGGATGTGGCCCCATTTGAAGCCATCTCCAAGGACACGTTCACCCCGTCGTGCCAGGACCTTAAAGAGGTAAGAGCCACCTACAGCAACACACCCCAGCCAAGAGTGCCATTACGAAGATAACCTGGCTCTTCCACAGCCCTATGTTCCCACCACAGTCAATAAAGCAAAAATATATATACCCACATCTATGGACTACTCTGTAACAAATGATGTGTTGCCTCACTGAGTTAGTAAAAGCTTTAATGGACTCATCCAGAGCAAACCAACCCTGAGACAGAGGGAACGGAAGGCACGAAGTTCCTCTCGTGCTGCTCAGCATGTCTCCCTAGAATCTCTCTGGCTGTAATTATGTAAATAAATCCTAATCGTAACTTTAAGTATTTTTATTTGGGAGCCAGCTTCTCCAGCAGCGCATTAGAAACCGTAAACAAGGTTTTCTTTTTCATTAGGCGCATCTCTAATTTCCCAGCACTTGCCAATTAATGCACTTGGTTCTGATGGGTGCTGACACATCGCTTTGCACCGAGGGGATTCGTCCCCCTGTCGGACTGCACGGGGCTGCCTCGGTCCCTGGTGCTGCTCTGCACCCCAGAAGCAGTGCTGGGGAGGCACTTTGCACACCCTCATCGCTTCCCAGCCCATCCGTACAGCGTTCAGACAGGAATCGATCCGCTCTTTCTCTCCACAATCACGAGCCCGATGTAACAGCCATTGCACTGCTTTCCAAAAGCCGACCAAATTAAAGAGAGATTTAACTGGGGCTGGGGCACTGGAACTGCAGTGTACACTGTGCTGCTCTCAGGCACTACTGGTATCGCTCTCACTTCTACAAGCATTAAAAAAATACATTAAAAAACAACAACAGTACGACAAGACATCTCCCCTGAGGGCTGACGCGCTTAAAACCAGCCCCTCTCCCTGGGGTCCAGTACTGCATTCTAATATACCAGGAGGGACCCACGATAGCCCAGAGTGAGAAATCCTGGCTTAATTCCACCACCTGAGTATGTTAGTATTTTAAAAGTCCAGTCTTATTCAACAGAAGCACTGCAGAGCTGTTGGAATTCAGTCTGCCTCCAGCTCTAAGGAGAGATGCTCAGTGCTGACCCACAGCCAGGAACCCACACACGTTCTGTCCTGCAGGTGGGACCCCTCTGCCACAGAGCCTCACAGCAGGAGAGAAAATGGAAAAAGAAGTGGTATAAGGGAGAACTCATAAGTGCACCACCATCTGCAAAGCACGCTGTGCTTAATAGGAATACACAGTGACCAATGCCCATCTGGGAACAAGAGGTCTGTCCTAGCACAGCCCATTTGGTCCTAAATCATTTTGGGCTGAGCCCAAAGGTCTGCGAGGGAAACATAGAAGCCTTAAGGCTGCTCCTACTGTGCCAGCTGAGATCCAAGGAAAACTCTCATACAAAGGAACTGGTGTGATGGGATGTGCCCTGCGCCATGGCAGTGCCCATAGGCAGCGATACCCGTGCTGAATCACAGGGTACTGAGTGCTTCCCCCAACTCCTCTGGATGGGAGCAGGGAGAATGCTTGGGCTCCATCCACATCACACAGTGTTGTACAGGCACTGCAGCAGGCAAGAGGGTAGCACTTTGCTCCCCATCCCCAAAAGACCCATTTCCCACCAAGCATGCTGCATGCTGAAAGTAGTCTCAAAGGCATAACGGGATTCTAAAGCAACAAAATCTCCTTGAATAGTATCATAAAAGCACTGACATTTAACCCTCAAAGAACCCATAAACACAGGTGTGGAAATGTTACCACGTATGTTGTCAAGGTTTGATTCCCTGTGCCATGCTCACCGACAGGTTACAAACTCGTAACACCCAGCACGGCCAGCCCTTCCCTTTCAGCACAACCATGTTGATGAGGTATATAAGATGTTTGTAAGCAATTTGCCATCAGAAAAAAAAAAAAAAAAAAGCAGCTACATGATGCTCACGTATCCACGCTCACTCCATCTGCATTCTTCCCCAGCTGTTGTGATAGGTTTTGTAAGAAGGCTTTCAGACCCAATTGAAAATCCACACCACGACTAAACAGGAAGGTTTAGCTTAAGCATCAGTGAAGAAGATGGAATCAGGATCAATTTGTATTGATCTTGGATGTCCCTTGGTAGTTAGCAATTTGGAAAAGATTTCTTGCTAATCTCTTATCCACCTCTTCTTACGTGCAGCACAGAATGATGCCCAAGGGTTGATCCTGGTTTTGTGGCCCCAGGCAAGTAACACTCAACATCACTTGCACTTCCTGGCCTGGACCATGCATTTACTTTCTCTGTCCAGCTATAATGTGGAGGATGCTGGCTGCTGCCCATCTGGAGGTAAGACACCTGGACTAACAGGTCCCTATCCTGGATGCCCGCTGGTCCCACAGCCACCAGTATGAAGGAGTCATTTGGAGCAGGCAGAAAGGGCACTGGTGGGAAAGCAGTAAAAACTCCAACATAAACCTGGCTGAAGTTGAGCAAAGAGTTGAAGATGATGGAATGGAAAACACACAGGCATGGAAAGAGGACACACGCCATGTAATAGTGTAAGTTAGAGGTTGGCAACCCCACCCACAGCAGAGGGTTGGAACTGGATGATCTTTAAGGTCCTGTTCCATCTAAGCCATCCTGTGATTCTTAGAGATAAGAAATAAGGGACTGTATAGAAAATCCAGGAAGCAATTAGATGGTAGGGTGATCTAACTGTACCCGTAAGCCATGCAGCTCCACTCTAAAAGTCTTTAAAGAGTCATCAAATGAATAAATGGCATTAAAGATGCTTCTCCCTGCACCAAGCAACATGACAACACCTAAGGCAGCGAGAATGGTGACTTCCAAACAATTCTGTCCTTTTCCCCAGAGCTGAATGTTACCTTTCCAGATGGGCTGTGCAACAACATACGCTTTCCACATAGATCTGAAGGGAAGAGCAGAATGCTACATACCATCTGGGCAATCCCTGGGCAGTTTGATCCTTCGTATTCCAGGCACAACATCCCATTCAGGGGACATATCCACAAAGCCTGATTGCTTCTGTGCTCTGCTCTGCCCCGCAGACCACAGAGGACTCCTTCACCTCTCCCCAAGCAGAGAGCAGCTGAGGGTTGCAGCCAGGAGCGATGGAGCTGGACTGCATCCACACATCTGCTCACGACCAACACGCTTAAGGGAAAGCAAGTCAAACGTTTTGCTGCAGACATGTGGCTGTGGCAACATCCTGCTGCTAGGATGAGCACTAAATCACTCAGTCCAATGCATGATGAGCCCAATGCATGATGAGCCCAACTTACCAAAGGAAAGACCCAAAGGGTCTCATTTGAGCATGGGGAGGAGCTCAGAGGATGCAGGGAAGGGGCTCTGGGGATTTAAGCTCCTGCGGAGGAATGCAGACGTCTTATTTAATCAGTCTCAACTCAGGTGTGTAAGAAGACCTGGGAAGGAAAAGTTTGCTCAGGCAGATGGCTTTTCTGCAGCTGCAAAATCGATGTGAGTGGGTCTCAGAAAGGCGCCTTGGGATTGAGAAAAATAAGGCCTGCTGCTTAAGGAACCTCCAAAGAAAGCCCTAAAATAGATGCTCCCAGGGAGGAGAGCCTTTGAGGAAGTTTGTATTTTCTGGTTATTGATACCAATAAAGCCAAACCCCCCAGACCACATGGAAAGGTACTTTAGGGCTGTATTTAAACAGATCTTTTGCAGGAAGAGAAAGACACGAACTTCCCCTGCACAGAGCCATACTCACACCAAGCCAGCTTGGGAAGCCAAATTTCCTCTGTCTATAATGCAAAGTCATTGGGCTGTGAGCGCAAATGAGCCCCAAAGCTTCCTCTGAAAGGGTTCTGTTTTTACTTCTGGCAAACAGGAATAATCCCACTTCCTGGGAGCAGGGCTGCCTTGCCCCCACGTTCCCCAGCTCTTATCACACGATGTATGGCACTTGTGCTGGACGGGGTTATCTATTGGCATTAGCCTAAGAAAACACTCCCCTCTTTGGGATAACAATCAAGGTAATTGAGATTTCCGCCTTGCTGGAGGGGATACCAGCAATGAACTTCCCCCTGGTAATCAAGAAGTAAAAGG